GGGAAAGAGATGAGGGAACGGATGAGAGAGAAGCTGAAACTTTATAGTCGTACATGTACGAAACGTGTATATTTGATGATAGAACTTTGATCGTAGAAAATGGACGTCACGTACGAGCTGGTGGAGGAGCTACAAATGAAAACGAAAGAGTTCCTCCAGCCAAATCCAACGGCAAGGGCGAAGATGGCGGCGGTCAAGGGCATCAGCAAGCTCAGCGGTCAGGCAAAAGCCTCGACTTACCCACAGCCAGAAGGTGTACTCGGCGATTGTATGCTTTCTTATGGAAAGAAATTAGGGGAGGATAGTATTTTTGGTACGTTGGTTTAATATGCGTGTTCAGATGCTATGAGCTATGTTATAGGGGAATAATGGTCTCATTTACTTCACGTGATGGTAAAGATAAAATGTGTAATACACTGAAATTGTGTAGTTAACCTTGAACTTTATACTTGATAATAATATCCACTTTGTAGTAAAGTTAACGGCAGAGTTGGAATATTTGTTTTAGTTTTGAAATTTATATAATTAATCGATGTACCAAAGGATTTTGTCAGGTTTTTGGTGGCAGAGAGATTTTCGTTATTTTCATTTAGGTAAACAGATTTCAGAATTTTTAGATTTTATTCTAGTTATTATTCGAGCTGATAAATATCTTCTATTTATCTTCGGTACGTCAAGTTATATATTAAGATATATTATGTAATTCTTTGGAATAATAATGTTTTCATTTATTCAACTCAGTAGAGATGTGTCAGCCTACTTTTCATCGTGTTCGTTTGGTTGAGATGTTACTAACTCTTGAACCATTATTTGGCTGGCAATATTCTAGCTTTTATCGTATTTTCTGTGCGTTAATTCAATTTACATGTTAAACTACTTTGTCTAATCCTCTGGAATAATATTACCTCACCTTTTAGTACATTAAAAATATAGATAAGACTTTTGATATAATGCGTTAAATTTAAGTGTTTTTAACGTTTGAAATATCATTTGGAACTATGACATTTTAATTTCGGGTACAGTAAATTAAACTAAATCATTAATTTAATTTATTTTATAAAGTATTTTCAGCAGCTCATAAGGATAATATTCTTCCTGTTTCAAGATTATTACTTAATATAATACTATGGAGCTGAAAAGTATTTAATATATTTCTCTGCATTAATATAGTTTAATTTAACATTTCAGAACGAATTACAATTTTATTAAAAACTCAAATTTACAAATCATTTCATATTACAATGTACCGGCAAAGATTTGGAATTGCGAAAAGACTTGAAAATAAAATATGTTCAATTAAGTATTAGACAGGTAATAGTAGTTTAAATAGAATATCAAATAAACTTTTAACCTGCTAGGTTAAAAATAGGAAACCCGGTAAAGTAAAAATTTTGTATAATGAACTATTACTTAAAGTACCTAAACATTTTCTGTCACAGAAAGCTCTACCTCAACTCTGAACTCTCAGGGAATATTCATGTTAAATTAGCCTGTAACTTTTCGCAAGTACTTTGCAAAGATACTGAGCAAAGTAGACGCATAAATATGCATCTAAGTGCTGGCAAGAATTTGGCTCATTTATCTTTTCTAATTCCTGTTCGCAGCTCAGGCTCTCATTGAAATGGGCGAGGCGATGAAGCAGATGGCGGACGTGAAATATTCTCTGGACGACAACATTAAACAGAACTTCCTGGAGCCTCTGCACCATTTGCAGACCAAAGACCTGAAAGAAGTGATGGTAGGTTGGTGGTGGTTATTAAAAAAGTTCCCTTTCTTCTGCATCGACGAGTAGTGTTGTCCCAGTTTAACGCGACAAGAATACGTCGAGACAGAAAGAGGGAAA